GTTTTTTTTTTTTTTTTTTTTTTTTTTTTTTTTTTTTTTTTTTTTTTTGTGCCCTGGGGATTCAACTCAGGGCCTCAGGCATGCAAAGCCTGCTGTCTACCTCTGAGTTATGTTCGTAGTTCCTATACTTTTTAATTTCCTGATTTAATACAAAAATAATGATGATTGGTATGGTTATTTTACAAAGTTAAGAATATCCCTTCATAGCATAAGTGATTTGAAATAGTGCTGTAATCATGTTCTTCAACAAACCATCAACGAATTTAAAGTTGTCTTTGAAGATCTGTCAGAGTATCAAAATTTTACTTTTATAAGGTACTAGACATTGAACTCTGTTTAGAAAACATAACCAAGAAAAGATACCTGGGACTAAGAAAGTGAGTATAGAGTAAAATTAAGTAGCAACATCACCCAAAGATTAACCTTCTGCAGCCACCAAAGATATCCACTCCCTAAGACCATTAAGCACAAGCTCCTGCCACAAAAACCAGGGCTACAGAATACTCCCAAGAGACAGCAAAAGCAAACTGGTAAAAGTTAAATAGCATGAGGGAGTGGCATTGTATTTTAAGTACCTTTAAAAAGACAGGTTTGAATATCTCCTTGGTGTTAAGGACTGTATTGGGTCCCCAACCCAAATTTCTATACTGAAGTCCTCCCCTCTGTGTACTTGGAGGTGGGACTGCATTTGTGAGTAGGCCCTGCTCCCACTGGGCTGGTGTCTTAGAGGAGGAAGAGACACCAACATTTGCTCTCTCTAAGCAGGCACAGAGGGGAAGTCATGCAAGAACACTGCGAGAAGCCCACCACCTGCAAGCCAGGAAGAGAGCTCTCACCAGGAACCAAATTTGCTGGCAGCTGACCCTGGATTTATAGACTCCAGAACTGTGAGAACACAAATGTCTGCTGTTTACACCATCCAGTCTGCCGTATTTTATTATGGCAACTTGGCCAGAGTAAGATCTGAGGTTGGTAAACTTTACAGGAAATTAATTAAGTTTGAGGATTTGACTTTTTTCATACAATGGGAGTAGCATTACCAATAATAAATAATGATAACTCAAAAATCTTCATCAGCTTTTACCTCTTAATTGCCAACTTAAAGAAACTTTTCTCAACACTGGAATAGTGGGAAAAGCACAGAGAGTCCTCTTTGTTCTTTCCTAGTAATATTTACACAGCATTACCCAAATAATTTCATTATATAAAAGCTGTAGTGAATTACATCTGTCAGATCATGTTAAAGGTCATAAACAAGACATGGAGACTAGATCCACAAAGAAAACCCGATCATTGGCTGAGTTACACTCAAGTTCTGATCTTGTCCACATTTCAGATAGTGCTTTACACATAATATGGACCTAACTTTGCCACTTTCACTCTTGAGGCCTAATGTCAACCAGCATATGTGAAGAAAGATGATAATATTTACCTCTGTTGCTTTCACAAAAGCTGAACAATCACTCACTACATTTTGGTGGGTGATCATTGCTCCTTTGGGGTTGCCTGCAGAGCACATAGGAAGCAGAACAGGTTAAGTAAAGACACTCCATCCAAGAATTAGGGCCTCAAATGCCTCTACTATTAGATACACCCATGGAGAGCCAGATGTTGAGTAATACATTCCCGAGCAACCAGCAATCATTGAAACATTATGTTAAACAATCTTTATAGGATGGGCAAATTTTCCAGTGTGTGTAGCAATAAGAGAAAAAAAAAATCAAGAATTTTATCCCTTCGATACAGATAATGACATAGTTTGCTCTAGGAATCTGGGTGAATCTAAGGTCACTTTGGATAATGTTTTAGCAAACGCATGGTACTCTCAGATTCCGAGAACACCTTACAGAGTAACAAGACAGCACTGAACCACTTCTGTCTCTCCTGCTTTCTTTCATTCCATTATAATTAGCTAACAAGTCTTATTAAATAAAAAAAAAGCAGATGGAATCTATAGTCTTTCAGATATTATTCAGAAGCAATTACATCTCAAAATTTACCTGTAGTTCCACTTGTGAAACAAATTATTGCAAGATCATCAGGTGCTGGAGGCTGAAGAAGATTTTTAAAAAATGGTTATAAATGAGAACAGAAAACTATAAGTCCTGCAGTGGTGGTAAAATTATGACAAATGTAACTAAGCCAGCTGTTACCACAGAAGGCTCTAAAAGGTTTGCCATCACTGCCCTAAGGTACCACCCCAAATCTCTGGCAGTCTCCAACATAAGTAGATAATAAAAACTACATAGAAAGTTATGACAGGGTCTAACATAAAATACTTACCTTGGGCTTCTTTCTGTTGGCTCTTCCAAGGCCCTAAATCAGAAGGGAGGAAAAAACAAAACAAAACAAGTGAAAACATTTTCTAAATGTAAAGAATAAGGTCACATGAAGTCATGTACAGCTTTCTTTACTATAGGGTTCACTCACAGCTGGCTCAAAGAAAGCAGTTTTCAAATTAAATTAACTATGGCAATTTTAATTAACCAGAACCAAGATATTTATCCATTTTTCTAGAAAGCCATTTTTCAGTTCTCTTCTCATATAACACTACACATATGGAATCAAGACTGGCCTCTGAAATAAGACTTATTCAAAAGACAGTAATCAAAGTCTTCTATAATACATTTCTGCTCCCCACTCCCATTTCTTATTATGGCTTTTGACAAAGCCCTACTTTTAGCCAAAACCAAAGAACTGCAGCTTCTCTGTGCCTTCCCCAAATCAGAGCACACAGCACGGTACCTGAGTACCCACTCTGTGGAACTGACATCTTCAATTAGGGAAAAAGAACAGATTTAAATGCTAGACATTTTAGTGAGGTTCAAATATCTGTACTCCCCACACATAGCAGAGACAGAATTGGGAGCCTCCAACTGTAAAATAGGCCACAGTAGAAGACCTACAACCCCTTCCTGAAAGGACATAAGGTTCATAATGACAGATTCATTTCTGAGGTGCAGTGGTTCCCAACACTGGCTTCCCGTGAATACCAATGATGTGGTTCAGTTTTCCACATTAAGCCACTTTCATGTCCATTAATTTTTTAAAATGAGCTATTTATAGTCTTTTCCAATTAAAATTGAACAGCTTGAGTGAGCCAATAGAGTGAACATGTCTATTAGAAAATGTAAATGAGATGGGTGTGCTTAGGGCTCAGTGAGCTTTGCCAATTGTACAATTTAAAACAGTTTTGAACCTTAATCACACTTTAAATTACATACATGACAGACTACTAATTAAAAAGAATACTGATGTCCAATTAGAAATCAACTAAAAACTAAAGCAATGATAATTCTGTATTTGTTTTTCAAAATAATCTTTGTTAGTTCCAAATTTCTACTCATTTGTTCAAAATCCTTTCCTAACTTCTGAAGATCTTCAACTCTTCAAAAATTGATGTTAAAGGCCGGGTGTGGTGGCGCATGCCTGTAATCCCAGCACTAGGGAGGGTGAGGCAGGAGGATCTCTGTGAGTTCAAGACCAGCCTGAGCTACATAGTGAGTTCCAGGTCATTCTCACTACATAGTGAGACCCTGTCTCAAAAAAACAAAACAACAAAACAAAACAAAAAAATTGATGTTAAGAAAAGCAATAGCTACAACCTGACTTTTAATTTTGGGGAATAAATATTGTTCAAATTAATGTACTGTTTGTCCCAAAAGTATCATAGTTGCAAATCTGTCTTGTCATCATTTAGAAAAAACACAGCAATTATCAAAAAAACATTTGCCATCTTCATGTTATAAAATGAAGGATAAATAAAAACTGAATTCCAGTTAATGACAAAAATACTGAAGTATTTGGGTAATGAAATTTTGTAACCTACTGAAAGTATACAAAAAATAAAAATAAACAAAATGGACTGATGAATGAATACATGGGCAGAGTGACAGAGTAATATGTAATAAAGAAAATACATTAAATTTTAAACTATAAAAGGTACTACAGATAATGTGAAATAGGAAGAAAAGGAACAAAGAGGAAGGGGAAACAGGAGGGGTAGGGGAAAGGGAAGAAGGGAATGGAATTAACATGAGAAAATGAAAAATAATGGAAACAAAGTCTCTGTAGGAAGGGAGGGAGGGAGGGGTTGAAGGGAGTACAGGGGGATGGGGCAAAGTAAGAACCAAGATGGATTATGTAAAGGTACAAATTTCCAACAATGAATGTCATTATATGGTATACATTAAATGTACCAATAAAATTAATTTAAACAATTTAAACTATAGACTACTGGTGATGGGATATCGCTGTCGACTGGATATTTTTTTTCAACTGCTTATATGTTTTAAAATTTTCATAATTAAAAGCCCAAAGAAATGCAAACATTCCAAATACCTATGCTTTCATTTTTTTAATCCCATAAAATATATGTTAACATAAACTTGGTTCTATGATCAACAATATGTAAATTTAAACTCACTCCTTTAAAATTTTACCATTTATAAAAATTTAAAAATCTAAGTATAAGTCATTTTAAGCAGGTAAATTTAAGACAATATTTTTTATAAATTAAGGTTTTGGTATAAGCTGGTCACAATAGTACAAGTCTATAACCCTAGCATTCAGGCAGCTGATGCAGGTGGATCTTGACTGCATATCAGCCAGGGCAACCTGGGCTACACAGCAATAACAAGACACTGTCTCAGAAAAAAAAAGGCAACAAAAAAGATTTTAATATAAATTTTATCTTATAATCTTTAATCGCTTACTCATCTAAGTAATGTTTTAATATAAAAATTATTCCTTTATCATTCAGCAGTCAAAAAAGACCCCCCAAAAAGAAAAACCAGCCTCTGCTTTGTATCTTGGGATGGGGTGGGGCAGGCTCCAGGAGGGAAGGAAGGTAGGGGTAAAAGAGATCACATCATTTTGAACAGGGATTATAAGAAAAAAAAAAAAAAAGACAGAAAGTAGGGAAATGCTAGTGGAAAGTTAGCTAAAACATCAATTTAACAAGGAAGCCATGAATGAGCTTAAAGTCATGTTCTATGCTACTGTGTGCATATGGGCATACGTGTGTGTGTGTGTTTGTGTGTGTGTGTGTGTGTGTGTGGTATGACTGAAAAGTATAGAGGATGTGTTTAACTTAAAAAAATTATTATTGTAAATGACACATTGTCATCCACCCCTCTCAAAATCCTTCTCCTCACTTTGAACATATTTATCCCATCCTTTTTGCCACTTCCAGAAGCAGTTCTTAAAGTCTTTTTCATGAATATCTTTAGTTGTGCTGTCATGGCTGCCTCAATGTTCTGAGCTGATTTAAAACGTTTACCTTTCATGGTCATTTTGACTCTGGGTAAGTGCCCAAAGTTGCATACTGGCAGATCCAGTGAATAAGGACCCTCAAAATGCTTTTTTATATTCTGCCTTTCTGTAAGATATCACTGGCAGCAGCATTCACCATATTTTTTATCATACCTTATAAAGACATTCACAAAAGAACACTTCCTGGGCCAGGAATTTAGCTCAGTAGTTCTGCTGCCTGCCTTGCAAGTACAAGGTCCCAAGCTCGATCCCCAGCACCAAAAAAACAAACAAAACAAAAACAAACCCAGAAGAACACTTCCTGAATTGCTTCAGAAAGCAGCAAGAGCAATGGCATAAGTGTGTTCAAAGCAAGGGGAGTATTCTGAGGGAGGTTAACAGTAATGTCTTTTACTGTAATAAAAAAAATTTTTTTTTGAGTCAGGGTCTCACTATGTAGTTGAGTCTGACCTGGAACTCACTAGGTAACCCAGGCTGGTCTCGAACTCCCACCAAACCTCCTGCCTCAGCCTCCCAAGTGCTGGGATTACAGGCGTGCGCCACCACACCCGGCATACATTTTTTAATTTTAAAGATTCACCGTATTTTCACTCCATGTGTGTATATGCATGAGTGCACGAATGTGCATGAGGCAGAAGGTTCTGTTGGAACAATGAGTTTCTCTGTGACTACTAGAGTGTTCAGGAAAGGTTTTAAGAGAACCTTATTTGTAGCCTCAAATTCTTTACAGAAGGAAGAGAGCTATAAATACAAGTTTCATAAAAATATTTATAACATCTTTGGAAACAGCATGACTTACTCTATTTAGCATACTATTTCTTGTGATTCATACATAAAAAATCCTCCTCTAATCACAAGTCTATATAGGGGGATCTGTTCATATGAGCCACACTCATCCTAGTACTGTTACCTTTAAAGTTGTGCTTACTGTGAATTTTAAATTGAAAATGAAAATAAACCAAATCAAACATCTCTGTTGGAAATTCATCAGGAGTCTACAAAATCAACTGGGAAAAGAACGATGAAACAGATTTCTGTACCTGGTTTGGTTTTGGAAGCAAGTCAGTAAATAAAAGACATTAAAGTCTAAAAACGATAGATGTAAACTTAAAACTTCCACTCGTCTGAAGGTGAAATTCATAGATCCAGCACGTAAGAACGGCTTGTCAGTGCTCTGGAAAAATTATGAACATCGCAAAGTTCAGCAAGAACTTCTGCAAGAGGTGCAGAAGAAGGTGGGTATGTATGAAAAATTATTCTTTCTGGTCATAAGACAGAAGTCCCTGCTCTTGACCTTTACTGGGGTGCTAAGAAAGCTGGCCTGTGTTGGGATTACAAGGGGGCACTGACATCAAGTCCGACCCTGCAGAGAAGTGGGCTGGGTGGCGTGACTCACCTCCAATGCCTTCATGCTGATGATTTCCACCCCACATTTCTTGCCTTGTTCCACCAGATCACTGCCATAGGTGTCCATGAGAACTATGACTTTAAGGCCTGATGTTAACTTATTTTCTACACCCTCTAATAAGATTTTGGCCTTCTCTGGTTTGTCAGCAAAAATCAGAGAGAGCTCAGCTGTAAATAAAGAGAGATGAGGAAGAATAAGCTCTGGGGTGTTAAAAGCTTGGCTTTATATCTGACACGATGTTATGTTCTTTGACTAGAAAGACAGATGCACACTTAAATGTAAAACTCCCATTCAATCAGATATACAAGTGTAACATCACCGAACCTAACCAATATCTGGATCAATGTCCACCCCAAATCACAGACATACCTTTGTTGACTATGTAAGTGATGGCATCAGCTCCAAGGGTATCATAAAGTGGAACAATCACCATTGAGTAAGCAAAGCATGCTTGTTCAATAATCACCCACTAAAGGTTGGGAAGAGAGAAAGAGATGCTATATCAAAATCACTCTAAGGATGACAATGAGGTTCAAAGCCAAAATATTTGATGCAACAAAATTAACATTTATATATCTACTACTCTGTGACAGAATCCATTAAGGATTCATAATGGAAAGAAAACATTTGCCCCTTTTGCAAAAGACATTTGCAATTTGCTTGAAGAACGGAAATGAATATATGAAAAGATGATTAATACAAGACAGTGATTGCTCAGAGATGGGAAGGGTCACCACAGTTTCTAGGTGGTTAAAGATGCCTTTGTGGGGAGATACCTGAGTTTTCCCTTTGCAAAAGAAGCACAATTTGGAGAAGGGGTAGGGAGAAGGAGAGAGAAGGGCAAGAGATTCCACTGAAGGAAATATAGGATCCAAAGCAGAGAAATCAGTGAGCAACCTGGCAGGAAAGAAGAGTTTGACTAGAGGAGAGGCCAAAGCAAACCTGTGCTTTGGGGGCTTTACTCTAAGGACCATGCAGAGCCATCACAGCGTTTTAGACCAATCAGCGGCTGTGCTTTGAGGAAGATCAATCTGGCGGCAGTGTATGGCATGGCCTGGGAACAGGGGAAGGAGGGTACACACTTATCTAACAGGAACATTGTTCTGACAAAATCTTTTCCAGAAAGAAGCAATACAATAACCGGTTATCTTGCTGCTAACTCATCAGGCACACAGCAACCGACACATCTACCAGGCAAACGTGACATAATCGCACTTTTCAGTGCTAACCCTCAGTGGCTCCCATGACCACCAGCTGCATGTTTCAGGTGAAACTGCCTGCAGCAGTCTGACATGGCACAATGAAGGCACAGCTGCTGAGGAACATAGCACAAGCTTTTGTACTCACTGGGTCTGGAAGGGGGATTTCCTGGGATTTTTTTTTTGTGTTTGTTAAATTTATTTTTCTTTTTGCTTGTGTGCTTTGTTTTATTTTCTCTCTGGAACAGATTTGAAGTTACCAGCACGGAGGTCAGGTCCACGTTCCTCAGCAGGGCACATATGACTTACATGGCTCTCCCTTTCCTACCTCTTACCCTGTCACTCCATGGCCCACCGCTGTAAAATGCTTTATCCCTCAACACAGACGAGCTATCTGATGTGAACATGCATCGCACCTGGTGCTCCTCTGGCCTCCCCACCTGTATTTCCTTCAAGACTCTACCCAGGCATCACCTCCAGGAAGTCCTCCTTGGCTAACCTCCCACATGCTTCTGGCCTGTGTTCATACTGATCAGGTTACAGAGAAAGCAGTTTTGGGGTCTGTCTTCCTTATGTGGTACCTCAGGAAAAGAAACCAAGTCATGTGTGCAGTTGCTAAATAAAATTTAGTGGATATGTTCATGAGGAAAGGGAGAAAACAAATTTCACCAGCCAAGTCACATCTGACTATGAAGAATGCTATTTTCCTTTTAGCAGAAGAAACTCTAACAAGCCATGCTGATTTATAAAACAGGACAGCACAGGGATTGAGGTGTAGGTATAGACTCTTTCGATACAAGTAAGTATAAATTCAATATCTTTAAGCCAAATGCTTGAATTTTTCCAAGCCAACTATGCCACCAATCTATTTATTAACACTTTAAGAGAACCCTCAACTCTCGTTTAAATTCACTTTCATAGAATGGTTTCCCAAAGTACTGTACATGGACCAAGAGAGCCAAAGAGCACATTGTCTCTGTGAAGCCCAGCCCCCAGGCACCTTCCCCACTGCCCACGGGATTTTTCACTTTAAGATCTAACCAAAGGGAAATTTCAGACCTTTGGGGAAAAAAAAGTTTGCTTTTAAGAAAAATATATCTAAATTTCTCTATAATTTATCAATGCTATTTTTCTAATCATAGAGTAGAGGTAGTCCTTAAAGTGAGAAGAGATCTTTGTTGGATATTTTCTCTAAGAATTTTGTTTGAGAGCCCCATTTAAAAAAATTAAAACAAAAATTACTAATGGGGGAAACCTTTTTTTCCCCCTCTGAAAGGCTAAAAATGTCTTCATTTGGGTTTTTTATGTGTAGGTTTTCTAGTGTGTTACACAAAGCCATATATTCTCAGTGGAAAGCAGACCACAAAAGCTGGTCTCAAGCACAAGTAGGTGTAGGCTCTGGCTCTTATAACTGCGGTTTAGAACTTGCAAAACCCTGTGTGATAAGTGCCCAATTAATACCTCGGGTCTGTTCTGAGAAAAGATGCCAATGAACTGGTCTTGGGAGGCCTTGAAGCCCTTCTGGAGCAGCGCTGAGCCTATGTACTCCGACAGTTCTTCCACCTAAAGTGAAGGGGAAGGAAACGGAAAGCAGCATCAGGCGGCAGCTTAAGGAACAAATCCGAACAGGTGACAGGCTGGCACCTGGACCAGCCAGCAGTGCTGCAAAAGAAGGAGAGGGCATTCTTTTAAGTTTCTGAAAAACGTGAGAATTTATTAACCACAGTTCACTGTTAAGAGAACAGAATGTAGGGTCCTTTCTGCAGAGCAAATTAATCTCATCTCAATCTTAACCACTGCAGGTGACAGACGATTTAATGTCAGGACGTCTTATACATTTTTTTTCTACTTTAGTTTTATAAACTACAAAATTAATGCAGGAACTTTTTTCATATTTATAAAGAACTCCAAGGCAATCAAAACATGTTATTTAATATTAACACAGAAACAGCAATTTTTTTGAGAAACCTTTTTAAAAAATGACTAAGCTATTGTCATTGGACTCCACAGTCCCATTCTTGAGAATTTATTCTTAGCAACTAATTCAGTCTTAGAAGTTTCAAAAAGTCTTTTGTACAAAAGTCTCTATTTCAAAAATGAGGAGGGGAGGAAAGGTCAAAGGGAGAGGAGGGAATGGGGAAAAAAGGGGACCAAGGCGGTTACGCGCAGGTACAAATTCCTCGTGATGAATGTGGTCAGTATGTATGATGAATGCATACTAATAAAAATTAATTTAAAATAAAAAACTCAAAATAATCTAAAGTCAAAAAACTCTAGGAGAAAAAAGACTTGCAGCTGGATGATTAAGCAAATGATGATAAATCTTGGTGAAAACACTATACAACACAAATGCTATAATTATGAGAAACATCAAAGTTAAGATGGTATTAATAGCAATGATAAACACAGAAATAGCTACTTTTATAACAAGTGAAAGAGGCAGATGCAAAAAATTAGACAGGGCTGTATGTCCATGATTGTCCTTTCCCCACTCCCACCCCAAATTAGGAGCTCTTAATACTTGGAGTTATTTTTTAATTCTCTATTGATGAATTCTCAAGAGTACTTTTCAAGCACCCTCATGCCATAGGAAATAAGGCCACACCTATCCCTGTTGGGAATTCAGTTGGCTTTGGCACCTAGTGCCATCGCAGCCCTGCCTATGAGGGGCTGACACTGGTGAGGTGACAGTGGGGTAACATGAATAGACACAGTACCTTTCACTCCACAGACCAGTTCACAACTCTTGGTTGCATTTAAGAGATTGGAACCTGAAAAACTGCCTGCAACTGCCTGCAAAGCTAATTAGGATAATATGTATATATTTGTATTTCTAGAAATATATTGTAACTTTCTTTTTTAAAATAGTGAAGAGATTACAGCCTCCAAAAGGTCAGGTTCATTGAGCAAATTAAAGATATTTAATCTACAAATACACAGTGTGACTTCAGTTAAGTTAATACATAGCTGACTTCAGTTAACTCCAGTTTTATGTCTTTACTGGCTTCCAAAGAAATGCACAAATCAAAGATTAAGAACTTTACTTTAGAAACCTGTGATTTTCAATCTGCCTCTCTCCTAGTCCATAAATACACCAAAAGCAATCTAGAAAGCATCTGAGAATCTTGTGAGGCCTTAGGGCCATCACACAATGTTATGTGTTCAATACCACAAGCTTTATATGACACTTGTGAAAACGAGCTATCTTGGATACTACTATTTGCATAGGGAACTTAAAGGCAAAATAAAAACAGTAGATCCTCTAATTACCTGAGCTATAGCTCATAACTCCTTCTACAGTTACAGTATGGTAGATTGCTTTACTTTATCTCTCTCTTGTGAGACTAATACTATTTAAGCAAAGCCTTCCACAAAGGAGGGAAGGGAAGAAACCACGTTTCAATCCAAGAAGCATCTACAAGCACTAGGGCATGGTTAGGCTTTGTACCTCCAAATACAACTCCCATCATATAAACATCGTTAAATAGACCAACTACTAGAAACACCTTTCATACAGACAGAGAGAGAGAGAGAGGAAACTGATTTGTATTCAGCAGTGCCACAGGATTACCTGGTCCTAGAGTAGGCAGCAGAGGGAGCCCAGGGACAGAGAGCCATTTCCTGGACAGCTGTTCAGGGAACAAAAGGCAGCAGCATAACTAATGCTTCCAGCTGCGCCTGCCTATCCTTGGGACTGGACCTGGGAAAAGCAGTGACATCCGTACTTGGTATGATCATAACAAAAAGCAGTATCTTCCTGCTCAGGGACCTGCCACTCACAAACTGCGATTTTAACAACAGATAATAGGAAGCAGGGAGATAGATCATTCTCCAAAGGGAAAGGAATCAAGAGGTGGAGGGAGAGGGAGGGAGCAGAGGGGTAAGGGACGAGATAAGGAACGAAGATGCGCTGCGTACACTACCAGCTCCATACAAGGAATGTAAACAGGTACTGCAAACGCGTAAAAAAAAGGAAGGCAGTCAAGGGATAGGTGGAGGAGGGAGGAGGAAAGGAAGGGGGCAGAAAAAGGGATTAAGATGTGTTACGTATGAGTACCAACTCCACACGGGGATTGCAAATGCTCTGTACTGCATACAAAGACCAATAAACTAAAATCTTAAAAACCCTAAAAATAAATAAATCCTAAAAAATAATGATTGTGATTAATAAAAAAAATCAGTTATAGCCAATGAGAAGTGGGGACTAGAGTGCAACAAATGTGAAAATAACTAGATCCCAGCTTCCCTTGTGCTTATACAGCAACGCACAGTTTTTGGAACATCTGTGCTTCCCCCTGCTGCTGCTGCTGAGGTTAGACATCATACCAGAGAGAGCTGGCAGGGGACACCCTGAGGGTCAGTGGGACGGATGAGAAATCCCAAAACAGCCCTCCCTTCTGGGCCTGGATTTGTCCCTAAACAGCTATAACCTGGATGAGTATGCCTCTTTTGGGGGCAGGCAGTCCTTGTCTACAGAATGAGAAGATACTACAGAGACGGGCTTCCAAATTCCTCGTGTGTAAGGCACAGAAGAATAATCACAGAATATACTGAGAAGAATCATCTGCTTCAAGCAGTTCTAGAGTTTTATCTTCAAAATTGTACCCTACCAGTCCATCCATATCAGTTTTAAAATAAAGTGATTTAAACCACTAGTTAAATTACTCAACTAGTTTTATCAAATCGTTGTGTCAAGTCTTTCCATGGATACTCCGTATTTCTGCAAAGCTCAGACTGGTCCAGCACATGCACTTCGTGGAAACCCTGCAGTCCCCGCCCTCATTCTGAAGTCTGCAGGAGCAGCCCAGAGCCAAGACACTCACCTGTTTATAGGAAAGCCACTCATAGGGTTGGTCTGGTTTCCGAGAGCCCAAACAAGGGCCATTATCTATAAAAAGAAAAAAAAAATGACAAAGCAAAGAATGGCTTTAACATGTATAAAATAGCACTGTATTTTAATGTGTACCTCACCTTATTCTACAAAATAATCACAGATTCAAATTACAAATGATAAGCTTGGATTAGGATTATTTTCTCCCTAGGTTTTGATCTGATTTTTTTGTTTGCTTTAGTTTGTTTCTTAAATTGGGGAAGAGAGGGTGATAAATAGGAGAAAAGACAGATACAACTTTTAAGGACACCCAACTTGTGAATTCCTCTTTAACATACTATTGATTTGGACCAAAAGTCAGTAGCTAAGTGGTAAGGCAATCTTGCATTAGGTTTTCAGATGAGGTATCACTCAAAAATTTCTAAGAAAGTTTAATGCATTGTAACTCAGAATATGAAAAGGAAAATATAATTTTTATGTCGCTAAATTCTGATGGCTGGAAGTATTAGCTGGAATCATGCAGAATCACAATTACATGAATCAAGTCCTGACTGTAACAAACTAAAGTGAAGAAAAGATGCAACATGAGGATAAATGAGGTAACTGTGAAGGCAAAGTTAAGAAATAGCAGGATGTGTCCTAATTCCAACTTAGGTACCAAAGAAGCAAAAAACCAAACCAAAACAAAACAAAACACTCTACACAACTGGCTTCACCATTCTAGGTTTTAATTCAGGAAGGTATTCTGATTTTGTTTGGGAAATAAGGCAAGAGAACGTTCCCACCTCAGGCCACGACAAGCCCGGTCCTATTACCCAGATCTATGCACTAGATAAATATGATGCTCATGCAGACTCAAGTATCAATCAGGAAGCAAGATACACACAGGCTTCTTTGCTGTCCCTAAAAGAGTCTTGATGAAAACAGGACAAATCTTATTCTCAGACCTTCTTCAGTTTACAGAATCTGTAACAAAGGCAGAGTGGTAAATGGCAAGTTCTGTCAGATGCTGTCTTCAGATAGGGGGAAAGCACATTAGCCAAATGAAATGATCCCATTTCACTCCTCAAGAACAGAGACTGGCGAACTGCAGCCAAGATCCCAATCACGCCCACTGCCTGTCTTTGTAAATATAATTCTACCGGGACACAGCCACAATTGTTCTTTTTAAGAATTGTCTGAGGTGTCACTCAAGTACTTGCAACAACGAGCATATGGTCTGTGCAGCCTGAAATAAGTACTAGCTGTCTCCGAATGGAAAATTGTGCTGATTCTAGCTCTAACAAAGCAGTGCGAAAGCTCCAGGCTCACCTGCAGAACTTAAGAAGTATAGCACACCCAGGCCCTATTAATAAAATCTTTGATATAATTAAATGGGGATCAGGCTTGGGCCTTCCTAGTTTTTAAAATTTCCCCAGATGATGCTACCTACAAACAGGTGATTTTAGATATTTTCTGTAGTTAAGAAAACTCCATGCTCAAATATGTGCCAGACTTTATGGAGAGTCATAATGGCTATAAAGTGTGGCTAGGGATGAGAGTCTCTGATAAACAGGGAACTCAATCTTTGTAAATAGCTTTCGAGGTGCAATGTGAAAACACTAGGTTTAAAAATTCTAGGCTGGCTTCTCCCATCATTGAACAAACTTCTGACAACCTTATCCAAACGCTGGGCTTTGCTCGTCTATGATATTTTAATACTAAAGTAGCCTAAGAAAATTAAGGTTTAGAATAAAAAGTTCCTTGGGGGAAGAAAAGAAAACTGACTTGCAAAGCAGCACCCTTTAGTCAGAATAGTTTAAGAATGCAATTTACCTTCCTTCTTCTCCGAAACTTTTTTTTTTTTTTTTTTTGCAGTATTGGGTATTGAACCCAGGATTGTTGCACTGAGCTATTTTCTCCCTAATACCCTTCTTAAGATTTGCTCTTGCTAAATCACTAAGTTGCCCAGGCTGGGTTCAAATTTGTGATGCTCCTGCTTCAGCCTCTAAATTTCTGGGATTACAGGTGTGCACCACCAAGTCCAACTTCTCTGAAACATTCATAGGAAAACTTTCATTTTTTCCAAGTAGAGCAAGTGACACCTGTTGTCCCCCTTAAAGTTATGTAACTTATCAGAAGTACAAGGTAAGTCACTATGCTCCTAGATGAATCCCACTAACTGTTAACAATGGAAAAAACATACAAACACACACACACACACACACACACATATGCATACAAATACACACAAATACATTTCATGTAGCTTATGCTATGCTGCTCTACCTAATGGATATTTACTATCACGAACAGTCCCCAACACTAACTTTCCAAAAGTTCATAATTAAACATCATACAAGTACACTTGTTTTCCCTTTAGAATAGGGATTAATGAATTTTCTAGGCTTAATGGGACTACTGGACTAAATACAATGAGTTGAGCAATCCAATTGCACAATTACCAAGTAAAACAACAGGCATTTCTTGAATGTGTACTGTTTGCAAGGGACTGTGGAGCACAGAGAAAGTAATCCCCCAGTCCGTGACCACAGATTATAATCTAACAATGGCAAAAATAAAAGGTAGCCAACCAAAGATTTAAAAAACAAAATACAAAGCCCAAAGAGTTCTATAGAGGAGCCTAATAAAAGCCAAAACAAAATGACTAAAACAAAAAGAGCGTTTCTTTCTTCACAGAAGATATAGTAACAGAGCACTCACTGTGTATAGGCACTGTCAGTGCTGTGGGGAGAGGTGAAAAATGGCTGTGAGGTCCTCCAGGAGCATAGGCTGGTGGAGCAGAAGGCCAAGTAACCACCTCTGTGCCATAAGGAGTTACTACACAAGTAGGTATCAAGCGCAGAGAGGGAAAAGGAGAGCGATGCCTATGACAGACTAGGGGCTTTATAGAAAAGCAAAATGCAACATGAGTTCAAAAAGATCAATAAGAAACCAGGTGCGATGATAGTCACCTGTAATCCCAGAACTTTGGGAGGCCGAAGTGGGAGTATTGCATGTTCAAGTCCAGCCCAAACAACCTAGCAAAGTCCTATCTCAAAATTTAAAGAAAAAGGGCGGGGGTGGGGCAGCTAGGGATATAGTTCAATGTGAAGGACCTGAGTTTAACACCCAGTTCTGAAAAAAAAAAAAGATTAATAAGAATAAACTCTGACTAGAGGCTCCATTTGACCCAGCCATCCCTCTGCTGGGTATCTTTCCAAAAGAATTAAAAGAATCATACCATAGTGATATATGCACACCAATGTTTATAGCAGCACAGTTTGTAATAGCTAAAACTTGGAAGCAGCCCATTTGCCCATCAGTTGGAAACTGGATAAAGAAGATGTGGTTTTTCTATAAAATGGAATACTACTCAGCCATAAAGAATGAGAAATTAGATTCATTCATAGGAAAATGGATACATATTGAGGATAGACTCCTAAGTGAAATAAATAAGTCATATATGTGTAAATACCAAATAGTTTTTCTGGTGAAAAACTGAAAGTATAAAGAAGACACAATGGTATAATTGACAATGTCAAATAGGAAGTAAAGGGCTAAAGGTGTAGAGGAAGTTGGAAGGATAGGGGAAACGAAATAAGGGGAAAGAAAAAATATGAGAAAATAAAAAAGTGGAAACAAAGTTTTTTTTTTTTTAATAGGGAAGTGGGACAAAGGGAAAAAATGAGAACCAAGACCTGTCATGTAAAGGTACAAGATCCCAATGATGAATGTAACTGTACTGTATCCCTAAAATGTACCAATAAACTTTATTTTAAAAAAAAGAATAAACTCTAGCTGGGGTTGCAAAGACCAGGCTTTAGAATCAGGGAAAAACTCTTAAAAGAACACAAAGGTTGGGGGTTGGAGAGTGCTGAGCTGATCTTGCTTGAATAGCATATTCAAGGGGGACCTACAAGGGAGGAGACAGGTACCAGATACCAGGGGGTCTTGTCCACAGTTAATAATTAAGGGTAATTCCACAAGTCAACATTTCCAAAGTGTCTCCGAATTGACACTGCTTCCTTGGGATATCACTACTTCTCAAAATATGGGTCTTGTGATCCAGTAAATGTGAAAAAAACACTGGATTGAGACCAACTGAACAGGTCTCTTTACTGCAAGAAACATTAGAGCCCAATAGGCCTCTCCATAATACACTGGATATATGGTATTTGGCTACAGGGAACATGAGGGGGGCAGTGAGCTTCGGGACTGGCTCTGGACAAATTATGGGAGGAGAAAGAGAAGAGGGGCATAAGCAATGCTATATAGGTGAAAGATTTGTGCGCGCGTGCCTTCCTGAACTAAAGCCACTCTTTCTTAAAGAGAAACATTAAATGACAATCACACAAATGCAGGCAACAGGCTTACTTGACACCTGTATGCCCCTTTGGAAAACATCATATAATGTTCTGACATCATCGTAGAAGTACACCAAGGGCTCATCACTGTCAAGGAGCGTGGATCTTCGAGCACCATTGCTACCCTGTTGAAAAAGACAGGCAGAGAAATACATTAAAAATAAAAACCCTTTGACATAATATTCTGATAACTAAATGAAGCTGATCAGTAGTTACATACACTCCCTTCCCTACTTATTTGTGGCAGGAACACTTAAAATCTCCTCTCTTAGAAATTTTCAAATATATAATACAGTGTAATAACTGCAGTTGCCATCTGGTATAATAGATCTCCTGAACCTATTCCTCTACTGTGTATCATCAATACATGTAATTTCTATGCATCAATTAGACATAATTAAAAAGCCTAACACACCCCCACGGTACTCCTATCATTCATTACTCAGTGAGTATTTGCTGTATGAAGAAAGTACAAGATTTGCTAACATGCTAATACAAATCAGTCATTCATCTACAGGTACAGTAAATACAGGTTTCAGAAACACAAAGCTAAGGTAACATGGACATGAAAACGATCACTGGGGGGCGGTGACTGTGGGGAAAGAAAAGAGGGTCACAGGCCTGTAACCACCTATCTTGCCAGACAAAGCCACAAAGAGTGAGAGGACAACAGGAAAGTGCCACCACCACACACACCGTGACAATTCTCAGGCTGCTGCATCAGTACACAGAGGACAGTCCTGCTCGTATCTACTGACAATGATACCCCATTCAATTTTCCCTCTATAACATCATCAACAGTTTTCTTGAAATTATTTCTACTGTTTCATCTCTCACCAACAACAAATGCATTAGAAATTTCAGTGTCTTGGATTAGTATCTAATAGTCTAAAGCATAAGCTACAAAATACATGAAGGTGCAGATACAGGTCTTTATTGATTTTATTTGCAGCTTGGATATGGGTGCAGATTTGAAGTCACTGAGCACCTTTCTCTAAACTGCCTTCATCTGCTGGCCCCTACGTATACCGCAATGTACAAGAACTCTTAGCCATGGAAAGATGGACGCTCCAAGCCTCAAGCAGTAGCAGGGGGAGCTGCTGAGGTCAGGGACAGAGGGATACTAGGAGGGGTCCAGAGATTCACAGGAACCACAAAAGCATTTTTTTAGACTGATAAAAGCTCAAACACTATGATGCTAGAGCTTTTTTTTTTTTTTTTTT